CACACACACACACACACACACACACACACACACACACAAAGTATAGGAAAGAAAGCCCTCTGTAAATTCTTATAGAGCACTCTACAATTACTATTCGTCATAGATAGATTTCAGTTTTGACAAAAAAAAAAAAAACAAGATTCCTATCACTGCAAACACTCTTTGTCTCAGCCATTCTTGAAGAAGTAATTCAAATGATCTCTTCTGATAGACCATAATGCCCCACTTATTCTCAGACTTCCTCTCCTAAAGAGGACAGAAGCTCACTCAGCCAACACCAGGAGAGGAAGCTCTCCACCCCCACCTGCAAGTAGATATACTGAGCAACAGTATGTAAAATGATAAAAATCTAGGAATTGCCTTTGAAGAGTCCAATGACAAGGGAATGGTCTGGAAAACTATGCAACACGTATGTGAAGGAGGCTTCTGAAGGGATAACCATGGCTAGAAGATGGGCTCTGCCAATATGTGCAAGAGTAACAAGTGCTAGAGGCCCCGACTCGATCCCCAGCACAATTGATTGATAGATAGATAGAAAAAATTAGAGTAGATCAATAAACACACACATACACACACACACACACACACACACACACACAATGAATGTCTGTGACTCCCCCAAATTCACATCTTAAAACCAGATCACCAATGGGAAGGTGTTAGAAGGTGGAGCCTTTGGAAGGTGATTAGATCAGAAGGGTGGCATTCTCATCATGGGATTTGTGTCCTTACATAAGAGACTCCAGAGAGTCCTCTGGTACATGTGAGTGCACCACATGAAAACACAGCAAGAAGGCACCACCTGTGTGGGCTCTCACACTCTGTTTGACAGTGCCTTGATCTTGGATTTCCCAGCCTCCAGAACTGTGATAAATAAATTTCTTCTGTTTATAAGCCACCCAGCCTCAGGTATTTTGTTATAGCAGCCAAACACACTAAGACAGTAAGAAAATACAAACTATAAAACAGCGGGACACAGAACAGGATGTAGCCTCACATGGATCACAACCACATAAATATGCACAGCTGGACAAGAGTGAAAGGAGTGCAGACAGCAGATGCTTCCATAAGAGGCTCTCGGTCACTGGCTTCTTTGCTGTCCCCTGAATATGAGGGACTGAAGAGAAAGAGAGCCTGGCTTGCTGGGCTCCATGGAGGCACTTTCCCAGAGGCTTATCCTGAGGATGCCACACATGGGTGAGGGTTTTCAACCACTGGTCTGCTCCTCCAGCTGCATGATGCTGGGTGAGCTCATTAAACCAAGCCATTATAAAATGGGAACACGAAAACCTTTGATGTCAGTGTGATGATTGTTAGCAGGAATTAAATGACACAAAAATCTCAAATAACCTGATAAAGTGTGGTAGCTATTGTGATTGTTCTCTGACAGCCGTGGCATCATTAACCAGTTTACCTCCAGCTTTGGGAATGAGGGCTCCCTCACTTCGCCTTCCTGTGCAGCATGACCCCTCTCTATGTCTAATCTACATTTGTCTATTGACTTCCCAAAATTCATGTCTTGAAACCAGGTCATCAGTCTGAAGGTGTTAGGAAGCTGGGCCCCACCCTCTAACTCCTTCACATGGTGTTAGGGGTGGAGGGCAGCTTGGCAGAAGCTTCTGTGGTCAGTCCATGCCAGAACTCCACTCAGGGCTGCCCAATGCAGCAGAGCTGGCCCATTCCAGCCACTGGCTTTCCTGAGACTTTAGCCCGAGTTTCTTCTCTTCTCTTTATTCTGGCCATGGGAACCAACACAGATCTGAGTCACTGGAGAATGTGACCAGGTGAAAACCACAGCCTACTAGGACAGGAACAGCAGCAGTCTGACTTAGAGACCCTGGACAAAGTAGTCCTGTTCTTTTTTTGTTTTTCAGTTGTAGGGATTGAACGCAGGGCCTTGCATGTGTTACGTGCCCGGTCCTTTTACCACTGTGCACGGCCAGTCCTATTCTTCAGTCAAGGTTTTGAGCCACKATAAATTCCAAGCCACCAATCAAGTGTTATTTTTATCCTGTAAAATTGACTGCTGATATGTCTTCTTTAATTTCTAATTAGGAAACTCATCCTCTAGTATATGACAACAGAGCAAATCTTTGCAGGAGTTAGTGACAGGCTGCCACAGCAACCCTTTGTGTCCCTAGGCTCACATCCACTGACTCTTGTTCATGGCTGCCCCAAGCAGGGCACAGGGGGCTACATACTTTTCTTTCTCTATTTCCATGGAAAGCCGCTTCATGTCAGTATCCTTGAAGTCGAAAGACAGGCTGTCACCAATGAGGTTGAAGCTTGGTATGTCAGGAGGCAACGGTGCTGGAATTGGGTTCATGGGCTATAATGAAAAAGCTCAGATTAGGAGGTTTCAGTTATACAAGAACAAACCTTCCACACTCAATACTGCCAGGTGAATGGTCCCACAGACAGGAAAATCATCCCTCTTCCCCTCACATTTGACTGTTCTCATGCTCAGCTGAATCAAACACAAACTCCCATTCACTTAAAAAAATTTTTTTTTTTTAGTTGTTGAAGACCTTTATTTATTTGTATGCGGTGCTGAGAATCAAAACCCAATGCCTCACGCGTGCCAGGCAAGTGCTCTACCACTGAGCTACAACCCCAGCCCACCCATTCATTTTTTCATTTAGGAAACTCCCAGGCCCTGTGCTAAGAGCTGGAGACACATAGAACAAGACAGCATCCCTGGCTCTGAGCAGCTGCAGGTCTTATTCAGGAAACAGATGTGTTCACAAATCCTCACAGTTAAATAAGATAAACACTGTAGCCAAGGAGTGAACAGAGGCCAGGAGGGCTGGAGGAGGTGTGCTATAAGAAATGCTGCTTCTGTTGGAATCAGAATATGCCAGAAGGAGAAGGGTACCAGGTGAGAGGCACATCAGTGGGTAAGGCAGAGAGTGTCCAGCCAGAGTGCTGGGTGTGTGCARAGGTATATGGGGAGACAGGGAGGAAACTGGCCCAGACCAGACTCTGCCAGCTTGCTGAGGGGCTGGGACTCAGAAAACAGAGTTGGAGGATGGCTTAAAGTATAGAATGAAGTCATTAGATTTGGTTTAGGACTTTCTCATCCCAGAGCATAGAGATCTCTAAAACACAGCCCCAGTCTACCTCCCTACCTCCCTCTATTCACCCTATTAAATCGTAAATGCTACTATTTATTGTCCCTTGAGCCATGTTGCCTCTCCATCTTTGTACTCATGCCTATCTGTGTCACTTCTCCTTGTGCCCTTTCTCCTTGTGCCTTTTTCAAGGACTTTCTTAAATCCCTCAGTCTCTCACTATGTTGTCCCTTAACACTGCAGGGAACTCTGTAATGGGCCTTTTCAGTAATTCTGCCCTAAAAGATTCTTTTTTGGCTGTGTATTCGTTTTTCTATTGTCTGCAAGTTTCCTGTGGGTAGGATCCTTCTCTTTTTTATCCTTGGATCCTGTATTGAGTCCAGGATGGTGTCTGGGGAAGAATGGAGCCTCAAAATGTTCATCTGTGACAATAACAAGGCCTAAGGCAGGGTGTCTGGAGGATGTCAGAAGTGGCGTTTAGTGAGGGTCCAAAACACATTCTGTTTTCTGATCTGAATGTAGGGTACATGGGTTGTTTTATGAAAATTCATCATGTTCAGCCACAATTTGGGTACTTCTCTCTATATAAGTCATACTTCATAAAAACTTCCAGAAAGGATAAGCATTGGCTGCCACATCACTGGAGAGAGCAGAAACTGGCACAACCTCATTGAAGCACACCAAAATTGAATATCTGACCACCCAACTCTATTTACAAGAATTTATTCTACCAATATAGCCACACATGTATGTATGAAKATATTCATTCAGGGATATTGAAACAGACTAAATACCCAACTATAAGGAACTGGTTAGATAAATTACAAACTATCTGTACCATAAAATGTGATTACAAAACTGATTGGGGGGGGGCTGGGGTTGTGGCTCAGCAGCAGAGCGCTGTCTACCAMGTGTGAGGCGCTGGGTTTGATCCTCAGCACCACATAAAGATAAATAAATAAAATAAAAGGTGTTGTGTCCAACTACAACTAAAAAATATTTTTAAAAAATGATATGATCTCCTTCAGGGTTTATTGCTAAGAGGTCTATCTTAGAATAGCTTGCCCCAATGTAAGTTTTAAACACACATATCCTGAGGGCCCAGCTGAGCCTTCAAGGTGACCCCAGTCTCTGTGTAACCTGTGACCACCCCAAACAACCTAAGACATTAAGCCAAATCAATTCACCATGCTGTGAGAGGTATAATGAATGGTTGTTTGGAGCCACACAGTTGGCTTAGGGTGGGTGTTAACACAGTAAAAGACAACAGCAAACTGCTCCCACATCCCCCATCCCAAACCCCAAGCAGCTTGTCTCTTGTGCCCCACCTGCATCTGTCTAGGTGTGAATGTGCTGTGAAAGCACACACAGTGTTTGTATGTGTGCTGTGTACTTGAATGTGCAGTGTGTGTGTTGGTGCCATGCACGTGAATGGACTGTGTGTTTGTGCTGTGGGTGCACCTGTGTTTTTGCCCAGAACATTCAATTGTCTCTTTCCCATCTGGATAGTCTCTGCTCCCACCCCAAGACTCAGCTCAGATGCTATCTTGAGCCTCTCCTGCCTCCAAGGCTGGGCTGTATTCTGCGTACCTGTGCACATCTATCTGGATACAGATTTCCACGTGTGTGGTATTATGTGGACACAGAATAGGTATGCAAAGAAAGTTTGCTGAGAAGATTGCACAGAGGAAAGGAAGGGAAGCAGCTTCTATTTACTTTGTGGCCCAATTTAGCAGAAGTCTGTCGCCCTGTCCACAAAACTGAGGTTGGCAGCTGGTTCTTGCATGGCAGTTATTCACTCTGAAGTAAATTCCAGAACTGGAGAAGGCCCTTTTGCCCATTATCTATGTTACTGTCTTTTATCTGGTTATCTAGCTAATCAGAGAGGTAAATAACTAGTCCAAGGCCAAAAGCCCCTCCCGACTGCATTCGATCATGTGTTCACTTGAATGGTCACCCTGAAGGTACTGTTAAATGAACCAAGGGCTGGGAGGGACAGGAAATCACCAGGTCTCTAAAGCAATCACAGGCTGGCAGCCTCCACCAGGCTCACCGGGTATGTGGGCTTGGTGGCGATTTCCAGAAGCTTCTGCTTGGCTCTTCGCTCTGCCTCACGGGCTTCCTGCAGGTCCTGCTTCAACTGATCTGCCTCCTTGGCCCTGCAAAGGAAGGAGGAGATGTAAGCTCCACAGAAAAGAATAGGTAGAAAGAGCAYACCCCTACTCTCACTCAGTCCCTAGAGAGGAGGGACATGGGTTAACTCTGAGGATAACAGTGACATTTACAGGAAGTCAGAACTCCCAAAGCAAGGTCAACATTCCTGGGCATTATTTATTTCAATTGGTAACTCTAGACTGGGAGAGAAGCCAGTGGGGAGAAGAGCCAAACAAGGAGTTCTGCAAGCCAGCCAGGTACAGAGGCACATGTCTGTAGTCCCAGCTACTCAGGAGGCTGAGGCAGGAGGATCAGTTAAGCCCTGGGCAACATAGCAAGATCCCATCTCATAACAAAATCAAAAACACAAAACAAAACCTCTGTAATAGGTGGAGACAGAGGAAGGTAGGAAGTTGGGGAGGAGCGAGAGGCACATTTGCTTATTTCTGGGTGACAATGGGCAGGGCAAAGGAAGTACACAGGAGAGCAAAAGTCTTTTTTTTTTTTCCCCCCAAAAGTCTTATACTGGACCATAAAGGGCAAAAATAGGAAAGAATGTTTCTTCACAGCCTGCAAGTAAAAGAGTCACAGGTTAAGCACCCACTTTCCTCAGGCAGGAAGATCAAATCTGCCACTGAGGGCAACTGCTTCTTGGTGCAGATCCCCACCCTAAAGGACACATGTTGGGGGCAGCATGTGAGGCCTGTTGTGGGGACCCATACTGAGATCCAACACTCACAGCAAATGTGACCAACATAGAAGGAAAGGGGGCCAGGACAGGGCCAGCCACCAGGAACCATTTCTCCAGAATGACATGCAAAGAGTGATGGGGAAAATCGTAGTGAATGAACCTTGGTGCCTAAGAGCCAGATTCAAGTGTTCTAAATCAATACAGCCAGATGCTGTGGGGAATGTTCCAGTGTTTATCTGAAGGCTGCAGAACAATCCAGATCCTAGAATAGTTTCTGAAAAGTACAGACAACAGCAGTTCCCTTCAACAGTTCCCAACTTGGTCCCAAGGAGAACCCTGCCTCCCTCTCCCCGCTATCTACTAAGAAGGCTGCTGGGACTTCAGATGCCTAATTTCCCTTTCAAGGTAAATAACCTCTGTTTTCCCACATCACCACCACCATCCCAAATAAAAAGGAGGAAAGAACCACATTTTTTTAAATACAAAAATGACTTCTTTAATTTCCTTGACTAAAAGCAGTCTGGAGATGCTCAGAAGTTCTCTTGCAAAAATGATTATCAGATAGACAGGGGTTTATCACAGATGCAGGAYCAGAGAGGTCTACTCAGCAAAAAAAAACCAAAACTGTTTCTGGGTCCTTCCAACAGCTTCAGCTACCCAACCCTGTCCAGGAAGGAATGTCCCCATCCTTGCCCCACAATGGAGAAGCAGCTTGAGGATGGCTGCCACCCAGCTCAAGGAGAGAGAGTCCCTTAGCCAGGCCCAAATTTCCAGGACACCCCCCCTCACCTCCTCTCTGACTCCTCAGCCATCTTCAGTGCTAGCACCTCAGCCTCCAGCACCTTCTGCTCCATGAGGCGCTTCTCTTCCTCTGTCCGAATGGCTGTGGCCTTAATGCGCTGCATCTCCTGCTCTGCTTCTGCGGCTTTCTGGGCCAAGAGTTTGGCCTCTTCCTCGGTGATCTGGGCCTTTTCAGCCAACAGGTCTGCTGTCTCCTCTGACCGCATCTAGAGAGGAGTGTGCTCAGCTGGACTGGGTTCCTACCTCCTGCCCAGATCTGCCCTGGAACACGCAGGTCAGCAAGAACCAGTCTTGGACTCCTCGGGCCCTGTCACCAAGTGTCTCCTCAGCAGCACTCATGCAACAGATGATATGTCACATCACCCAAATATTTAGAAGAGCCTTTTGGGCTCCACCAGAGAGAAACAAAAAGAAAGGCCACTTTTTTTGAGTACCCATTTCAACTAAGGCTGATGCTTTATGAGGAAGAAGAACAACTTAAACAYTGCACTTCTTTCTCTTTAAATCAGTGGTTCCAAACCAGAGGAGGCCGGGAGGCTGAGGCAGGAGGATTGCAAGTTCAAAGCCAGCTTCAGCAACTTAGTAAGGCCCTAAGCAACTTAAACAAGACCCTGACTTAAAACAAAAAGGGCTAGGATATGGCTCAGTGGTTGAATGACCCTGGATTCAATCTCTGGTACCCCACCATGACCAAGAAAAGAAAAGAAACAAGAGGAAGGCTGGACAAGATGGAGCATGCCTGTAATCCCAGCAACTCAGAAGGCTGWGGCAGGAGGATAGCAAGTTTAAGGCCAACCTCGGCAACTTAGCAAGGGCCTAAGCAACTCAGTGAGACTCTGTATCAAAATAAAAAATAAAAAGGGCTGGAGATGTGGCTCAGTGGTAAAGTGCCTCTTGGTTAAATCTCCAGTATCAAAACCAAAAACAAAACAGAAGAGGTTCTATCTCTGTCCCCCACCACCCTGAGGCACATGGCAATGTCTGAAGATACCCACCACCACCCCACCCCACCCCTCAATACTGGAAAAGGCACCCAGGGCCTTGTGCATGCTAAGCAGGCACTCTACTACTGAGCTACATCTCCAGCCCTGGAAACATTTTTGATCGTCACAAATGGAGGTTAATATAATCAGAGATATGATCAATTATGATATAATGGTGCATTAAGAATTGTAATGCAAAAATAAATAATACATAAATATACAAATCCATTCTTGCAATAAGATGCATATAATTATCAATTGGATTATAATACTCATCATGTACTTACRAAGTTTGTACTTATATATATTGCCATATATTATTAGCTAGCAGATTTTTAAAACATAATAAAATAATGATACTATTAATTTWAAAAAATGGAAGTTAAGGTGGTATTTTTAGCATTTAGGAAATAGAGGCCAGAAACAATGCTAATCATCCTTCGATGCCGAGGACAGCCCCAGATGAGAGGTCCCCCCATGTCAGTAGTGCCAAAGTCAAATAATGCTGCTTTAAAGGTAATCCTGTGGTAAAAGTAGAGTCTGGATGCACATGAACTCAACCTAAACCTATTTCTGGCAAACAGGTGGAAAGAAAAGGCACTGCCTTTTTAAAAGCTGAAATAAAGTCTGCCACRGGAGGCTGAAGAAGTAGGATCACAAATTTAAGGCTAGTTTGGGCAACTTAGTGAAAGCCCTTCCCAAAATAAAAACGAAAAGGGCCGGAGATGTAGCTGCATCTGCAGTGGTAGAGTGCTTGCCCCGTATGCACAAGGCCCTGGGTTTAATCCCTAGGACTGAAGAAAAAAACAAAACAAAACAGGGGAATAAAAGCTGAAATAAAGTATATCAAAGCAAATATTGCTAATTCAGTCCCAAGGAGGCTCCCTCCAGAAGTCCCCATGTGACCTCCTGGGACCCCAGCCCTCAGAAAATCACCAGTGCTTCATTGGCCATCGTGGCTTCTTCTTTCATCTGTAGCAGCCTCCTCTCCAGCTCATCCCTTGTGCGTTCAGCCTCCTCCCGCATCTGTTTCTCTCGAGCTAGGCGCTGCCTCTCCATCTGGAGGGGTGAACAAGAGCAGGGGTGAGTCATGATGCTCCAGCAYCCCCAAAATGCCCAGCCTCCAGAGCCTCTCCTTTGAGGATCAATCTCTTTTCTTGGGGCAAACTTAACCATTGCTCTCTGTCACTTCTAAACCAGTGGCAGAGTTGAAAGCTGTGTGCCTTAAAAAAATTCTACTAGTGAACAAACAAATGAAGAAACAACAACAACAACAACAAAACCAAACTTGGTCTCCATCTGGAGAGAAGCAGCATTCTTCCACAAAGTGCCCTTGTAACACCCTTGTTAGTTAGGAAACCTCATGTGGCTCTGCCCTGTGGCTGGTGGTTTGTGACGCAGGTTCCTCCTTCCTGAGATGGAGCAGCTCTCAGCTCTCTCATCTCTCAGATGAGCCACTTCACCATTTCTAATCCACACAGATTCTTCACACATCTCTGATTTCATCCACAACAACTCTGCTCCTGTCTGGGCCACAGAGAAGATGGACCTGTGTGTCAAGCATCAATGGCTCACGCAACTATTTCACAGGTGGAAGCTGCAGCAGCCACAGCACAGCTCTGCACAGCCCCACGCAGAGGCGACTTCTGAGCCAGGCAGGGAACATAGCCCAATCCTTAAGGCAATGGTACAAAGCCACTGCCACCTCCCTTGTCCGCTAGATCACTGTGTTAATTGGGCTACCTGCCGAGCTTAATAAGGGGAACAAGACTGGGACAGCACCATCTCTGTGATCCCAGAATATGAACTGAGTCCAGAAAGCAAAAGCTAGAATGATCACTGTGCTATTTTCTGCCTTAAATAATGAAGGCATAGTGAATTACTACCTTCTTCCTTTAATCTTATCCCAAACTCTAGTAGTACAAGATTTCTTGGTCTAGGGCTGTAGCTCAGTGGTAGGTCCTTGCCTAGCATGTGTGAGGCTCTAGGTTTGGTCCTCAGCACCACACAAAAGTAAATAAATAAAATAAAGGTATTTTATCTAAAAATATTTAAAATTTTTCTTTTTTTATGTGTGTGCATGTGTGTGGTATCATTGTTGGACTGAGGGGTGCTCTAACACTGAGCTGCATCCCCAGCTTTTTTTTTTTTTTTTTTTTTGGAGACAGGGTCTCCTTAAGTTGCTCAGGCTGGCCTTGAACTTGTGATCCTCTTGTCTCAGCCTCCCAAGTAGCTGGGATTACAGCCCTGTGCCACCATGCCCCACTGGTAGGCTGCTGCATTTCTAAATACAAAGCCAAAAAAATGCACTGAAATTTGAAAGGATAATGCAAAGATAAGTAATAAAATACTGTAAGCTCTCTAATTTTCTTCTTKCTGGTCAATGAGAAGCATGGCCAATTTGTTCTCTAATTTCCATCGTATTATAATTTCCATCTCTATTATCTTCCTCTTGGGGAAAAAAAAATGGCCCAGGCAGCCCCATTCAGTTCCCAGCACTATATTTTCCCTGAGACCTCTACCCCAATAATAAAGGACTTCCCATCTACAAAGCAGTCTATCACTTACAAAGACTTTCTTCAGGCACAATATGTCCTTTGATTTGAGAAAAGACAAGAGGTCTCATTAGCTCCACTTGATGGAAGAGAAAACTAAGTCACACACTAAGTGACTGATCCAGCTCCAAGGTCACTGTTTTACTGAGCCATGGAGCCCTCTGACCTGTCAAGTCCCCTGACCCTTTGGTTTTCCAGATGCCTGGGTCATGCCTCTAATGTCCTATAGGCAGTACAGGCCGAGGGGTAGTCATGCTATTCTCTGCCAGGGGCCAAAGCCTACACCCTCCTTTATGTCTTTAAATCTGTCATTTCTAAGCTTTGCTCTGCTGAGAAAGAGGTCAAAGGAAGCTCTTCTCAAAGTTGCCACTATGACCTTATGCTGGCCAGGAGCATTTCTTTGCCCAACAAAACCTATCTCATCACCTTTAAAGCATCCCAAAGAGTACATTGAGCCTATTCTCCCAGAAAGCAAAGAGATGGAGAGCTAACAGCCCACTGGATCAAACTGGGCATTTCACATTCAATTCCAGGGCTGGAAGCTAGCTCTCTAGGGTACCCAAATCAGAGAGCAGCACACAGACTAATCATTACACCTCTGAGCTTGCTAGTCCGGAGGGCAGCCGACTGCAGCTGCCACTACTCTATCTAACAGTTCATCCAAAAACAATTGATATTCTCAGCAGCAAGGCTCAAATTAGTTGTGTGGGTTTTGGTGAGTAGAGAAGGTCTATGAGTAGAAAACAGCAATGCAGCTTGTCCAGTCTGCTGATAGGCCCTCTCCGAACCTCCCACAGTGAGTGATGTGCACCCAGGCTGACCTGCAGTGAGGAAGTGTGACCAGAGTCTAATTAGTATTCCAGCAGCAAGCACTGAAATGCTGCCATGTATTCCATCACCATCTAATTAGAAAAGGAGAAGGCCAGGCAAAGGAGACAGACAGGCAAAAAGAAAGCTAGCTAGCRAGGTGGATGGAGAGATGAAAGAACACTAGCTACATCATCCAAACCTGTGTTAATCACACTTAATTTCACTGAAGTGTAGAGATATTTCTCTTAGATGGCTGTTAGAATTTATTGCTCATTTCTAAAGCTGACATTCCACCAACTGGGTATTAGCTAATAAAGATTCAACAGGGGTCTGGGGTTGTAGCTCAGAGGTAGAATGCTTGCCTTGCACATATGAGGCACCAGGTTCAATCCTTAGCAACACATAAAAATAAACAAATAAAATAAGTTTAAAAAATATAGTTTAAAAAAAGATCCAACAGGGATGAAGTAGGAGCAGGCATGTCCATGGCCAAATGGTTCTATCAGTCCACAACTGGCCTTACTTTCCAGGGCAAGACTGACCAAGCAGCAACATCATCCTTAAAATAAGGTCTTGCTCACCTGCTTTCTAGCCTTCTCCTCCCTGGCTTGGGCTTTCATCTGCTGAACTTCCAAAGAATCGGCCTTCCTTCTCCTCATAAATAGGTCATGGTTCCCAATACATAATTGAAGAATCTGTGGGCATGGAGCATGAGAAATGTTAAACCCACAAATTTACTTTTCTGCCTATCAGACCAGTCACGCTACGCATCACAGCCTCTGGTGAGTGGCACTAAACCYGAGGAGTAAAATGGCAAAGCACGCTGACAGCTTCTAGTGCTCTTAGCTCTGTAGGCACGCAAAATGAAGACAGCTCAGATAAGCTAAGAGGTAAAAATCACAAGTGGAAAGAGGAGAAAGGTCAATTATCATGTCTTCTAGATGTATACCTTACTCTCCTAAGCCAAGAYATAGCTCTGCAGATTAGGAAGGGCAGGAAAGCTCATTCAGTAAGTTGGGCTAGGACAAAAGGTTATTCATGTGGAAAAAAAGTTTGTTGGATCCCTCCCTCACACCATACACAAAAATTGATTCCAGAAGGATTAAAAACTTAAATGCAAAGATAAAGTCCTAGAAATTGTGATTAGAAGATAATGTTGGGGCTGGGATTGTGGCTAGCGGTATAGAGCTCACCTAGCACGGGCGAGACCTGAGTTCTATACTCAGCACCACACAAAAATAAAGGCATGTGTTGTGTCCATCTACACCKAAAAAAATTAACATTAAAAAAAGTAATAAAATATAGAAGATAATGTTTATAATCATAGGAAGAGAAGATATGCCAAGTAAGGCACATAAAAGCACAAATAATTAAGGAAAATATTTTTATATTTGTCTGCATTAAAATTTTAAAAACTTGTTAGAACTGGGCATGGTAGTGCATGCCTGTAATCCCAGCACCTTAGGAGGCTGAGGCAGAAGGCTCACAAATTCAAAGCCAGCCTCAGCAATTTAGTGAGGTTCTAAGCAACTAAACACCCCGTCTCAAAATTTTTAAAAATGGGGGAGGCGGCTGGGGATGTGGCTCAGTTGTTAAGTGTCCTGTAGTTCAATCCCTGGTACAAAAAATAAAAGATAAGATTACCTCTAGATAGGGAACAGGTGTGGGAGGGAACAGGAGGGAGAAGGGGAATAGCATGGATGGTGAAAGGAGACCCTCATTCAAACACATGTATGAAGATGTGAATTTGGTGTTAACATACCTTATATACATACCTTACATGATAAATTGTGGTATAAAGGTGTATTAAGAATTGTAATGCAAAAATAAACAAATTAATTTTTAAAAAAGATAAAAACAAATAGGGGCTGGGGCTGCAGCTCAGTGGCAGAGTGCTTACCTTACACATGTGAAGCACTGTGTTTAATCCTCAGCACCACATAAAAATAAACAAATAAAATAAAGGCATGCTGTCCATCTACAACTACAAAAAATAAAAATTTAAAAGTAAATAAATTAAAATATAAAAAGGGCTGAGATGTAGCTCAGTGGTAAAGCACCTCTGGGTTCTATAACTAGTACCAAAAAGAATAAAATTAAAAAACAATTTTTTATTAGTCATGATACTATTAAAAAAAGAAGAAGAAAAACAAGACACAGGCTGGGAAAAGGCATAATCAATAAAGAAAATAAATGACCTAACAGGRAACTGGCCAGAAGACAAGAAACAAGAATTGAATAGAACGGGAAATAAGATTGGCCAAAAAAATATATGAAAAGATGTTCAATTTCATTAGTAATTATAAAAATGCAAATTGATATGACATTGAGGGTTAGGGATATAACTCAGTGGAAGAGTGCTTGTCTAGCATGTGTGAGGCCCTGGGTTTGACACCCTATCTCTGGGGGAAAAAAGAGATAGAGATACTGAGATATAATTTATATGTACAAAATTGGCAGGAAAATTTAAAAGATGATAACTTAAGTATTGAAGATACCAATCAAAAAGAAATCTCACTTACTGCTATTGGGTCTGTAAATCTATTCCGTTTACCTTCTTTGAAAAAACAATATATTATGTACAACTATAATGCACCAGTTAAAAAATATGAAAAAAATGTGTCATAAATTTGAATCTGAATACATACTAAGCCCTGTACTTCTATATATACACTCTAAACTCTAGAGAAACTATTGCCTATGTGTACCAGAAAGCAGAGACAAGAATGTTCATAGCAGCCTGCTAAAACAGTACAGAAGTCCATTATTAATAAGAGAATCAAGAATTTTTTTTAAAAGTACATATATTACACATATATGTATGTATGTATGTATGTGTGTGTATGTATGTATGTGTGTGTGTATATATGTCTATCTCCATATAATAGAGTACTATACAGAATTTAAAATGAAAAGACTGTCTTTTTTTTTGTGGGGTACCAGGGATTGAACTCAGGGACACTTGACCACTGAGCCACATCCCCAGCCCTATTCTGTATTTTATTTAGGGTCTCACTGAGTTGCTTAGTGCCTCCCTTTTCCTGAGGCTGGCTTTGAACTCGCATTCTTCCAGCCTCAGCCTCCCAAGTCACTAGGATTACAAGAATGTTGCCTGACTAGCAGACTATATCTTTTTTAAGCATCAACATAGATAGATCTCACAGAACAATGTAGAAAAAAGGCACTGGGATTACAGGCATGTATCATCATGCCCAGCAGAAATGTGTTATTTCTTAAATGTGGTCATGAGTAATAGTATTCATTTTGTTATTCTTTATGCTTGATATATAATTATGCATATATATATATATATATATATATATATGAAGTACCTCCACAAAAATCATTTTCAAAACTTAGTTTTGGACTGGGAGAATAATTCAGTGTATATCAACATGTTCAAGGCCCTGAGTTATATATTCAGTGTATATCAACATGTTCAAGGCCCTGAGTTAAAGCTCCCCAGAACTGGGAGGAAAAATTTAGGTTTGACTCTGTAAATTCAGGTAAAGAGAAAGGTGTGTACCAGATGAGCTCTCATTTTACACCTCAAAGACGTCACTCTGATATTCATCAAAAAACAGTATTCAAGCCAGGTGCAGTGGCACATGCCTGTAATCCCAGTGTCTTGGAAGGCTGAGGTAGGAGTATCCCAAGTTCAAGGCCAGCCTCAGCAACTTAGCAAGGCCCTGTCTTAAAATAAAAAATGAGGGAGAGTGTAAGGGGGTAAAAAAAGATGGTGAAATAAGATGAATACCATTGCCTTAAGTACATGTATGAAGAAGTCACGAATAGTGTGAATATACTTTGTATACAGAGAGATGGAAAATTGTGCTCTATATCTGTAATATGAATTGTAATATATTCTGCTGTTATTTATAACAATTTTAATTTTTTTTTAAATAAAAAGATACAAAACAAAAAGGGATAGGGATGTAGCTAAGTGGAAAAGCAATGGGGAAGCTGGGGTTGTGGCTCAGTGGTCACTTGCCTAGCACATGTGAGGCACTGGGTTCAATCCTCAGCACCACAAAGAAGTAAATAAATAAAACAAAAGTGTTGTGTCCATCTACAACTAAAGGGGAAAAAAAGCAACCTTTGGTTAAATCCCTAGTATTGATCCCCCACAAAAATTCAATTTCTTAGAAAAGCTATAGTTATCAATAATGAAAATCAGTATCTAAACTTACCAGCTTATTAACACGGAGTTTTGAGGAATTAAATTTGAAGACATCAATTTTCTTATCCAGTGGTTTAATAGTAAACTGAAAGAAGAAAGTAGAAAATAGTTCAATTTGGAGCTAGGGCTGTAGCTCTGTGGTGGAGTGCTTACCTAGCAGGTGTGAAGCACTGGGTTTGATCCTTAGCACGCCTTAAAATAAAGGCATGCTGTCTATCTACTACTACAAAAGAAGGAGGAAGAGGAGGAAGAGGAGGAGGAGGAGAAAATAGTTCAGCTTGATTGCATAGATTCCTACCACCAACTGGGAATTCCACAAAAGCAGCAACCACACTGGCCATGGTCCATCATGATGCTATGCCTTGTCCTGGCTTCCTGGTTCCCAGGCTCTAAGCCTCACTGTATTAGGAGAATGGAGAACAGCAAGTCTGGGGCTTTGGAAATTCAGGATCCTAAAGGTATGATTTCTGTACCATATTGGGTGGCTGTGAGGAAGGGATGCTTGGGCCAGCCCTCAAGGCCAACACTGGGAGAGCAGCACAGTCTAAGGCATAGCCCCTGCCTCATGAAGCTCCCAATCTAGTAAGAACCAGACTAACAAGAAATGGCACTCATTGGTGGCACATATCACAAATGTCCTGGGGGCTGAGTAGATCTACCAAAAGTAGAAAGGGACTGGATCTGGTCTTAGAATATGACAAAGTAGTTAAAAGGCAGCGTGCAGAGTTATTCTGGATAGTTAGGAGGAATAAGGGCAGTCAAGAGGAATAAAGTAGAGATGGGAAAGGGGCAGAGAGAGAGAGAGTGTGTGTGTGTGTGTGTGTGTGTGTGTGTGTGTGTGTGTGGTGTTATTAGCTTTTTGGGGATTGCAGTGGGCTTAGATGGAGGGAGGCAAGGGTGGACTGGGAATGGAGGTAAGGAATAAAAGAGAGGTTTAGATTTGATGTGACAGGATACAGGGGGTTACTACAGTTCTCTGAATTTGGGCAAACTTGATAAAAGCTCTTAATAGAAGGGATAAAATATGAAGAAGATAAATGGACTGCTATAGAAGATCAAAACCTAGCTCCTGAAATCAAAGTACAGAAAAAGATGAATGATAAGGCCAGGGTGGCAGCCAAGTAGTACCAGGACCAGATCCTTGACAGAAAGAACAAATATAATTTYCATGCTTAACCATTCCTAAGGGGGCCAAACAGATACTTGATTTCAAAGATTCATTTTAAACTACATATTCAATTCCAAGAAAGACTGCTTAGCCATCTTTAGCATTGCAGGAGTTTAAAAAAAAAAAAAAAGCATCAGTGGTAGTGCACTTGGCCTAATTCGCTTGAGGCCCTGGGTTTGGTCCCCCATATTACAAGATGAACAAGCAAAAACCCTAGCTTGATTAGCTGATAAATATGTTGGGGAAGATATATTTGAGTATTTCTTTCACATGATATATTTTTTAACATTGAGGACAGAAAATGATCCTTTGTTTAGCTTTTTGGCCAAGTTAACTCAGAAGCAGTATAGCTCTTGTGTAGGCTGCTATTTGTAAATTTCATGAGCTTATTTCTGGCCCTGCTGTCAAACCCAGAGGCTGTCAATGGGAAACCACAAGTACTGGGGAAACCACAGGCTCTGCGCCATAGCAGGGTGTACACAAAGAATCAATGGATGACTTAAAATAAACTAACATTTCTGTTTTGACAGCATGGTTGTCAAGCATAACTACCGAGACTACTTCCTATTATGCCAAGACAGCTTGAGGTCTGCTTACCATGAGTTATCAACAGGATGGAACATGACAGTGTCTGGCCCCTGGAGAGGGTAGGTAGATTAGAGTTTGTTATATCAGGCCATAGTAARGGAGACTTTAATCCTTGGGTTCTCTAAAAATGAGTGTTTGGGGAGCCTTTAGTTAGCACAGAAATGTGTGATGTGCAGTAAACAGAGCTTTATGAAATTGGGAGATAAAGGACTACCGTACTGTGGCACATCTACTGCTTTAAGTCACATGGAGCTTTCAATTCAAATACTTTCAAAAAAGAACTACCTGATGTTTATTTACCTCCTGGGCTAACTACTTACAAAAACTCCAAGTCAGAATGTTTGGGATTAAGATGCTCAATTGGCCTCATCAAGCATGGCTGAGTAGATTACAACACAGAGTGGAAACCAGAGCGTGGTGTTCCTTTCCTCAATTTGCTATGAAGAAAGAAAGAAAAAAAAACAACAGGAAATCTAGCTAGGTGCAGTAGCACACACTTATAATCTCAGTGACTCAAAAAACTGCTGAGATGGAGAATCACAAGTTCAAGGCCAGCCTCCTTGGCAACTTAACAAGATCCTGTCTCAAAATAAAAAATGAAGAGACTGTGGATGAACCTCAGTGATAGAGTTTTCCTCCACACCCTGCCTTAGATGTGCAAGTACCAGGAAAACACTGAGCACAGTCCAGGCTGCCACTTCTCACCCCCTGGTACCTGGTATCTTGTGCTCTCAAGGGCCCAGCCTCTGGGCCTCCCTGAAAAGCTGGAACTGTGGCATCAGCCACTCTGCCTCCCAGCTCCTGCCACTCTACTCAGATGCAGGTCACTGTATCCCCTGCACCTCTGCTTCCTGGAGTGACATGGCTACTGAAAATACAGTTCCTGTCTTCACAGCAGGGTTCTTACAAGGATTACATCAGAGAATCAGAGCAAAAGTGCTTGTAAGTAGAAGCTCTCTATTATTGTCATCTTTGTCATCAGTCCCTTCAATTGTATTTATTTATTATATTGGTTGAGTCATTACTTGACTAGAACTTCCTGGTTTGGGTTTTCTTTTCTTTCTTTCTATCTACCTACCTACCTACCTTTCTTTCTCTCACCTTCCTCCTCCCCCTCCCCCTCCCCCTTTCTTTCTTTCTTTCCAGTGCTGGGGACAGAGCCCAGGGAATCACATTCTAAGCAAGTACTCTACCGCTGAGCCACATCCTCAGCCCTGCATCTGATTTTTCCCCGTTTTGGCATTACTGGCAATTGAACACGTGAGCCTGGGCTTTCTACATCTTTGTAATATGAAACCTAGCACAAAGCAGATTCTCAATAATTCTTTTAAAATAATTCATAGGAGATGTGGGTCGAGTTCAGTGGTAGAGTACTCACCTAGCATGTACAAGGCTCTAGGTTTGATCCCCAGCACAAATGGAAAAAAAAAAAAAGGAGAAGGAAGAGGAGAGAGAAGGAGGAATGAATGAATAAATAGAGGATTATAGCAGTAGGGAAAATTCATTAGTATCCTGTATAGGAATATTTGAATCCTATGAATATTCATTATTTATTTATTGTTTGTTTTTAATATTTATTTTTCAGTTGTAGTTGAATACAATACCTTTATTTTATTTACTTATTTTATGTGGTACTGATGATCGAACCCAGGGCCTCGAATGTGCTAGGCAAGCGCTCTACTGCTGAGTCACAACCCCAGCCCTGAATATTCCTTATTTAAATTGCCAATGCTGAGAATGATATTGGCCAAATTATATTGTTACATTGTGTGAATATATATCAATATGTAACCACAAATCCCATCAATGTAGAAAAAAATAAAAATAATCACTCAAAAATAAATAAATTGTGAATGCTGTGAGAAACACACACACTAAAATATATATATTATATATAATACTATATATATTATATATATAATAGTATATATATATATATATATATATATATATATATATCACCCCCACACACACACAATGGTATGTGTGCGTATTTATGAACATATATATTTTTCCCACCACATGGATCAAGCACTAGACAGAGAAAGAGGCTCAATATAGACCATGCTTAAAATACAAAGAGAATTCATCACCAGAAATAGAAAGCTAAGTAATCAGAAAATGTTCCTTTTTTCTTTTTTAACTGTTCTTTTGGGGTTTAACCCTGACATGTTGAGCTTCCCATTCTTTCTTTAGTCAATAATGGGGTTTARTGATGCCCTTTGAAAAAAAGGATGCCAGTTCTGTTCTGTAAATACTTTAAAAATCAACAACCAAAACCCCAAAGCCTGAGAATTAGAGGGCTTTTCCTGATAATAARGAGATGGCCAAGCTGGGGCAGCTTTGGAAAGCAGGGGAGATGGGAAAAGACATTTTACTGGGCCACTGGCAGCATTTGTATTTCAAACATATCCTACCTCCTTGTCGCTGTATGAGATGTTTCGGATTTCATTCCACGGGAAGGAGATCTTGGGGGTCAGCCTGTTCTCGGGGTCATAGATGTGAAGTCCCAGAGCATCTACTCCAAGCAGCAGCTCTGTGCCCTTTTTATTCTGTAGAGTCAATAAAGAGCGGCCACTGTCAACTCCAGCTCAAGATTTTATTCAACTTTCTAAAACCTAGCACACACTGCTACAGCTGACAAGTTTCAACAGGTCCCAACAGAAATCACAGCTGTCTTATAACCCAGGAGGCTTTCAGCTTCCAGGATTGGGGCAGGCAGAGGCACAACTATACCTTTGTGACTTATATATCTCCCACAAAGGTCACTAGGAGCTCCTATCATTGGCTCAATGGCTAAAGGAGGGGCAATCTAAGTGTTACTGCCTCTAATTAATAACCAGATTATCATAGATGTAGAATTAAAACCTGTAGATTTGGGGCTGGGGATGTAGCTCAATGGCAGGATGAGTACTGAGCATAAGTGAAGGCCTTTGTTTGTTTGAAAACACCGCCAGAATCCCCCCACACCCAAGAACATACAAACAATCAAAACCTGTAAGTTTAAATATTTCCCATGTTAAAGAAACAGGTTGGCCAGATGTAGGGGCACATGCCTATAATACCAGCAACTCAGGAGGCTGAGGTAGGAGGACCAAAACTTTAGAGACCAGCCTCAGCAACTTAGCAAGGCTCTAAACAATTTAGTGAGATCCTGTCTCAAAATAAAAAATAAAAAGGGATGTGGCTCAGTGGTTAAGCACCCCTGGGCTCTATCCTCAGGACCAAAAAGAAAGAACAGACTGTTGGATTACTGGAAAATTTTATGTGTCAGGACTAGATGGTCTCAATGTAGTCTTACTATACTCAAAGCTGATAAAATGTTAATTGTAGAAACTCGTTAGTGAGTATATCTGGGTATTTCCTCTATGTTCGAACTATTTAATAACTAAATGTTAGAAATAAATGTCTGATGAATTATATATAAATTAATTAAATTTAATATATATGTGTGTGTGATACTGAAATGTCATGCTACTTCATATACTAAACAAGTATCTAAAGAGTATTCCATTATAAAGCAAAGTTTTAAAAGTTTCATTAATTTTATTTCTTTAAATTTTTGGATCAATAAGCTGTTTAAAAATTTAATTGGCTGTTTGTATGTTATACCTCTGTCAGCCATCCCGGTCAGCAGTCCAGAAAGCCGGGAGCAAGTGTTCTGGGCCCCGCATCACTGACTCGGCTACGGATCTGTCAGCCACGTCCTCAAGGACAGGCTCACCTGCCAGCACCATGGTCCAGCTCTTGTCTGGCAGAAGAAAGAAACTCCCCACACAAGGACACTATAGCTCCTGACCCCATGCTGACAACAAGGAAATTGAACCAAGACTCAAGGGTAGGAAAACAGATCTGCAAACTGAGAAGGTGCTTGGACTGTGACAAGAAGTACCAATCTAACAGCAGGTGTCAGATGGAGAAGCGAGTCCTCTAAGATAAATCTCTTTACTCCTTCYAACACCTGAAGTTAGGCGCTATCACCAAGCTATGAGAGAGTCTCCTGTTTGTCTGCAAAGCTTTTAAAATAACTGTGTTAACAAAAATGAGGCTCTGTACTCTTACATCTATAGCACATTTTGGAAAATGAGATATTCCATTATGTTTCTGATTATTAAGTTTAAATAAAAAAAAAAAAAAACAGATTTTGCCCGATGCCTCCTATCATCATGACTCTGACACTTCTATTCATTAAACGAGAGATGGGAACACAAGCAGCTCCTTTTAAATTGTTTTTATCACACAGTATCCCGCTATACTATAATTTTTTATGTTTTATATATCAGTTAAAAATAAATTTTAATTTTAAAAAATTATTTTAAGCGTATATCTTCCTTAGTTAATGATGAAATTTAGGAACTCTAACAGTAAAACCTCTAAAATAATCTTTAACCTGGTCTATTGATCAATATAAGAAATGTACATACTCAATAGTATACATTAGCCTGACTAATGTAGACATAGTACCTGATAAGAAACTGTTTTTTGAGGATTATAAAATCCTAGTTTAAAGAATCTAGGYGGTAGGCACATGGGACAAGAGTAGCTGGGTTGACAAAACCACAGTGTTCTGTTAAATTAATTTGACCTTAAAAAGGCGAGGGGTGGGGCTGGGGTTGTGGCTCAGCGATAGAGCGATTGTGTAGCTCATTCGGGGCCCCGGGTTTGATCCTCGACACCACATAAAAATAAAACAAAGGTATTGTGGTAAAGTGCTTACTTAGCATGTGTGGGGAACTGGGTTTGATCCTCAATACCATATAAAAATAAATAATAAATAAAGGTATTGTATGCATCTACAACTAAAAATATTTTAAAAAATATTTTTAGTTGTAAATGGAGCTTATGTTTTATTTATTTATGTATATGCGGTGCTAAGGATTGAACCTCAGGGCCTCACACATGCCAGGCAAGTGTTCTACCACTGAGCCACAACTCAGCCCCTAAAAATACTTTTTTAAATGAAGAAACCAAACAATTAGCAAATACTAATTAATGAAATTTTAAAAAGCATATTCTAGGCACCTGTTTAGTATATGAAATAGCATATTTTAGGCACCTGTTTTGTATATGAAATAGCATAACATTTCAGTGAGCTTATTTGTTATGCAAAGTAATCCATCAAAACCTGTATTTAGAAGATAAATAAAGTAAAAAGCTACTCTAGAATACTAAAAATGTTTTAATTCACCCAAGTTTAGTACAAATGTTGTAGGAACTTGCAAAGAGGAAAGCAAAGAATAACTGTAGTCATAAAGGTAAACCACTGTGGCAGATGTCTTTTAACATCTACTCATCTACCAGTTGTGAAATGCCTGGACACATCACATGTATTCCTTTGGAAGAAGCTGCGGATACACTGCGTCTGCCACCCAAACCCACCCACAGGAGAAAGGCAGGCTAAAAGGCCAGACTTTGGCTGCACACAAAGGCCTCTCTCTGAAGAAGCAATGGRTTCCCAGAGGAGGGTAGATCATTAATGTCTGAATAGAAAAAAATAATTAGCTTCATAGAACAAGAGTCCCACCCAAACAAATCAGTAATCTATAAAAGTCGCTTCACTCTCAGTGGGCCTTGGGGAAAGAGTATTTCCGGGTGCTCTCTGGATCTCACAGAGCTTGAAATAATCAAATGTTACACTCCCAGCATTCCAACAGGCTTCTGCTAGGAAGCAAAGCAAAGGCCCCAGTCCCCCAAGGCTTCACAGCCACTTAATTACCTATGATCTAATCTGAAGTCCAAAAATAGAAAATCGAGCTCTAAGACCCTTTCCCTTTGTCTTTTATTCTTTACCACTGAACCACAAAAGACTACCACCCTGGGATACAGAAGTAACCCGTTTTGACCATCTGGCCCTGGTTCAGCATCTATTTGCTAGCTGGGGAACTCAGGAAGTTCAACACACCCGAATTGCAAAGTAGTTCACACCATACATCTCCAGGTCCTGAGCTATCTTCAAGTACTCCATTTCAGCTTCATCCCTGTGAGGAGAATGGAAGACACTGTCACTGGAGCTAAGAGGCAAGGGTAGAGGGCAGGTACCCGCCAAGCTGAGCATTCTGAATCTGCCACTTCCCTGGACCCATATTGGCAACCCTGAGTCTATTAAACACAGCAGAATTTCTCATCCCAGTAAAAACAGGAAAACAGATTCATTATACTGTCTCTTGGCTTCAATTTCACACTTTGACCTTGGTAAACGGTGACATTTGTCTCAAGTGATTCAAGTAAAGTACATGGGGGCTAGGGATGTAGCTTGGTGGTAGAGCACTTGCTTAGCATGCACAGAGCCCTGACTTCAATTCCCAGCATGTCAAAAAAAAGAGAAGTACATAATATGTTATCTTCTATCCTTAAATGGGTCTGGATATTCAAATTTTATTTAAGTTGTTGCCTTATCTTTGTGTACTTCCTTAACTTAGAAGGTTTTGGTAATGAACAACTCTTTCTGCAAGCCACCTGACAGCTACTTTCCTGATTTTATTTCTTGACGTATTGTTGGAGGTTAGGGCAAGAGCTATTGGGACTGTAAAATCCAAGCCAGGTCACCTCCTTCTAAGTTATAAGTCAAATTTAAAGGAAGCTCTTGAAGAAGCAATGACTTGCAGAAAACTCCCAAATAGGTAATGGTATTGAAATATTTTAACTGGAGTCTCCCTGTGACCTTGTCCTTTTCCCTCTCGCTCTGATCTCAAAATGCTCTCAAATGGATTTTAAAAATTCACCCTGAGAGAACGCCAAGTGTTGGCAAGCAGGTGGAGGAACCAGAAATCACACACTCCTGATATAAATTGATACAATTACTTTGGGAAATTGACATTATTGTAACAGCAAAAACCAGGAGACAACTGAACAACCTCAATGTCCTTCAATAGTAGAATGGATAAATAATTTGTGGTGTATTAACACAGTGGTATTCTGCACAGCCATGAAAATGAGAAAATTATTGCCACATGCCACAAGCCCAAATTTTGCAATATGATGCTGAGTAAAAGAAATGAGGAACGAAAAATAGAAACTGATTGTATTTATCTAGAGTTTAAAATGGGCAATGCTGGGCTAGGGGTAAAGCTCAGTGACAGGGTGATTGCCTAGCATGCAAGAGGCCTTGAATTCAATCCCCAGCACTGCAAAAAAAAAATAAAATAAAATAAAATAAAATGGGCAATGCAAATCTATGGAGTTAGAAATCAGGGAATCAGTTACTTTGAGGGGAAAAGGAGAGTAGATATGGGCTATTTCTTCTCGAGGGTAGATGGTGTTTTCACTTTGTGACAATTGATCAGGCAGAATACTTATAATTTGTCTACTTTTCGGTATTCATATAACATATTTTTAAAAGTAAAAAAAAAAAAGGACACATGATAGGAAGCTAATTTAAAGAAGAGATTAAAAAAATTAAAGACTAATGCAAAGACGATCAATTCCTACAGTGAATAGCAGAATGCTAATTTTAACAATATGAATTTTCACCTTTTAGTTTACAAAAATTATAGACTGATAAACTTTGTAAACTAAACAAGTGCTGAGTATAGAGTGGAGKGGGCTGACTTGTTACCAACAGGAAAAGCCTTTTGGAAGGGCAATTTGGTGGCACCTTTTAAAACACAAAATGTTCACATCCTTTATCCAGCCATTTCCTTCTCTGAGAATCTATCCTTACACTACTCATACAATCGTGTAACAATATGACCTAGGCACTTCAGAACTTTTTGTAAAGGTGAAAAATCTACAGATACTCCAAATGCCATCAATAGAGGGCTGGATGCAACAGCAGTGCCTATCTATACAATATAAATCTTAAAATTGAACTAAATTACTAATGAATGCATTAGGTCTGTACATCCTGACAGGCAATACATATGCCACTTGACACCAATGCGCTACAGAAAAGATGCACATGAAACTGAAGACTGACATGACTCTCAGCTCCCCCTTTATCTTTATATACTTCAGTACCATATTTTGTTCAACAGACCTGTCCTAGTTTTGCAGTTCTTTAAGGAAAAAAAAAAAGGCCATAAGAATGTAAACAATTAAGGGACCTTACCTGGCTCGGCCTCGGTGCTCTGCATACCAAGCTGTAATTCTCTCCTCCCACATTTCTGGAGTCATCTGATATAGATTTATTACCTACCCAAAGAGAGAAAAATAAAATCTACACACAGGGCTAGACGTGGTGGTGCAGACCTATACTCCCAATGATGCAGGAGGCTAAGGCAAAAGGGTCACGAGTTCACAGCCAGTCTCAGAAACGTAGCAAGGTCCTAAACAATTTAGTGAGATCCTGTCTCAAAATAAAAAATAAAATGGGCTGGAGCTGTAGCTCAGTGCAAAGCATCTCTGGATTCAATCCCCAGTACCAAAAAAAAAAAAAAAAGTAGAAAAATCAGAATCTACAGATAATATGATATAGGGACCGGAAATGTAGTTTATTTATAGTGTGTGCTTAGCATGTANAGAAAAATCAGAATCTACAGATAATATGATATAGGGACCGGAAATGTAGTTTATTTATAGTGTGTGCTTAGCATGTATAAGGCCCTAGGTTCCATCCCCAGTACCAAAAAAAAAAAAAAAAAAAAAAAAAAGTAGAAAAATCAGAATCTACAGATAATATGATATAGGGACCGGAAATGTAGTTTATTTATAGTGTGTGCTTAGCATGTATAAGGCCCTAGGTTCCATTTCCAGAACCAAAATAAATATATAAATGAATAAATAGTTTTTAAAGATCTATACACAAAGTAAGTTTGGGTATTTTTGCCATTTTTATAATTATGCATCATTTTTACAAAATAGCAAAGCTATTTTTAAAAAAGCTGCACACAGGGAAGAGTCATATGCACAAGTAGGTGTGTAAACAAGCAAAATTCAATTGGAGGAACAGCCTGGAAACTGCAGAACTCCTCAGGCCTCAGTGCATGCCGGGGCTGGCAGCAGCCCCCCTTTCCTGCCTGGGCTGTGTATCCCAGAGACCACCTCTAACAGTGAAGCAATGCTCACTAATCCTGTGCCTTTGTCTGCATGGAAGCCATCAAAGGACAGGCAAAGGCCAGGAGAGGTGAGAAGTAGACCTTTATTACCCCACTGACAGATGAGTGGGGCCATAAAATCAGAAGCAGCCAAAGGGAAGGAGGGCCTGCTTCTGTGGCTAATGAACAAGATGAACAATGCTGAGGATTAAAAATCACAAGGCCCACCCCTACCTCACCTTTATCCACCCCTTGAGGCTGCAAACGGCTTAATTCCCAGAGCTGAACACAAACTGCTCCATACATCTCCCTGGAAATCAGTGCCACTCAATCACCTTTAAAGAAATCACCACACTAGAGAAACAGGCCATGCTCATCCCAGCAACACCAAACTAACCTTTGTTTTCTCGTATACTTAACAGAGATGCCATACTCTTTACTCAAGATTTATTCTTTACAAAGTATTTAGGAAAATGCGCTTGCCATATACTGCCAACATTTCTTTAAATCATTTGGTTAGCTTTCTTTAAGACCACGTCTCTGCTATGTTTCCCCAAAAAGAAAATTTGTTTTCTTACCCTTTTTGGAAGCAATTCTTCTTGGGCCAAAAACCCCCGTTTGTGCACTGAGGGGTCGTAGTCACCATACTGGAAGGAGAAGAAAGGAGAGCAGGTGATTGAGATTCTAAAGACTACTGCCATTTCTGAACAGAGCTCTACTTAGTCTTATTCCCTTCTCCCAGCTCCAGGGAGCAATTCAATTCTGATGACAAGTCAAGATTTCAACCTTGCTAGTTTGTTATCCTTGAATGAAAATACAAAGCTGATTATATCTATGAACACAGTTGCAAAATCCCTCAAGGCGATGGATGGGCCGATGTGCTAATAAGAATCTGACATTTGTATGGAAATGTAGTCATGTTTTCTAACTCTSGAAGAAAGCAGTCACTTCTAAAATGTTAGTTTTTAAATGGAAACAACAAAACACAACTGTGAAAGTTGTGATTAGCAAGGTGTGATAAGAGTCTTACCTACAAATGCTTCTAAGTGGCTGGTAATTGGAGCCAATTGCTAGGTGGGAGCTGGGAATAATGCAGACAATACTTTTAATACCTTTCACTTAAGGCTCAGAAAAATGCTTTGGAAAAATCTGATGTTAACACTGTCATTCCTACTATACAAAGAAACGAGTAAAAGGTTAACTGATTTTGCAAAAGCTGCACAGCAAGTCACTACTGGGGCTGGAAATAGGTCCTGCATTTTAATTTATTCCTCCAGGGACAATGACTTAGAAATTTGTTCTCTACTTTAAAAAGGAAAAAAGTGTTATTTTCTTTATTAGAAAATTTAAGCCTGATCAGGAAGTCATCAAAAATGAAACAAGGGGGCTGGAGGTGTAGTTGATGGAGTACTTGCCCTGCARCACGCAGGAGATGCTGGGTTTGATTCTCAGCATCACCTAAAAACAAAACAAAACAAACAAACCTAGAGAGAACCCAGGTTTCTCCCTACTTCTAAAAGGCCCAGAGACATAAAAAGCCCAAACAGTATGGTTCTTTACTAGTATTTCAGAGGTAGCTGCAGAATACAAGTAAGAGGCTAAGCATACTTAAGTTTCACCCCAGCTCTTTCACTTGGTAGCTAGATGACMTTAGAAAATTTTCTCTTCTGTAAAATGGGGATATCTTACAGGACTCTTGTTTGGATTAAATGAAATAATATCTGCAAAGTTTTAAAAACCATCTTTGACACATACAACCAGATGTCAAAGATCTCAGGCCCCTCCAAGACTGTTTTCCTATTGGTCAAATGAGAACACTGGCCTTGGAGGATCTAGAAGGGAGCTCTGGAGTACTGACACTGTGGTTTTAAGTAAGGTGCCCTCTCTCCAAACCTAGCTTCCTTATCTGTAAAGCAATGGGTGTAAAAGCACCTAGCAATGAGGGTGAAGTAAAGCAATACAGGTAAGCCTTTAGCCCASTGCCTGGATCCTGGTGGAAGTCAGCTATGATTATTATTTAGGTTATCACCTGTCACTGTTTGCCTCCCCAGTTTTTGAAGGCATCTGATGCCAAAGAAAGCCCTATTAGTTGCATTTCCAAACCTCTCAATAATGCCCACCAAACTTGAATGCAAAAGTAAGCAGATATGCAAAGTTAAMGTTGTAAATTCAGGTTCTTGCAAGATTAACGGTCCCCATTATTAAATTATACTAAGCTCCCAGCTACTCCACTGATCAAATATATTACAGCTGAGCAATGCAGAGGTAGCAAAGACTGCTGCAAGAACTACTCCACTGGACTAACTCCACTCACAACATTAAAGCCACCTTGATGTATGTGCCTGCTCTTCAATGTCTCTTTAAAAAACAAAGGGGAAAAAAATCCTGAAATTGTAGCAGTGGTGAATATAAAAAAGTCATATCACTCTATGGATGGAGATGGCAATTCCTCATCCTTTTATGTAACAGATGCATTCTGATAATATATCCAGGGTGAATTTACTGTGAGGGTAAGAAGTTGAGATTTCAGCTCTCTGTACCTGCATGGGCCTCTGCCTAATTTTAAGAGTCATGATTTGGTATTCTTTATTAAAGAAAAGTCCCTAAATTATATAAACTTCAGGTCTACAATACCTGGATCTACACCTGATATAAAATAATTGAATTTAAATTCAAGAAGGGAGCACACCATTTAAAGGACTCTTGAGGTCTTTAATTATTTTTTTTTCCCTTTTTGTGGTGCTGGAGATCAAACCCAGGGCCTCACACATGCTAGGAAGCACTCTGCCAATGAGCTTCATCCCCAGCCCCTATAGTCTTAAGTGGGACTCTTTATRGATATTAAATGATTTCCTATATTTTTATGTATGTAAAATCAGGTTGTTGTAGGGGACAGATGAGGCAGGGTACCGAAGATAGCAGGAAACAGTTTTATTTGGCTGCAGTCAGGTTCAGAGGGCACAGCTTTCTCTGTAATCAATTAGTCCCCTGAACCCCAAGTTCAGGTAGTTTCAGAATTTTATACCCAGCATGTAAGGGGAGGGGCTCAGAAGTTCACAATCTGCAGAAGTTCACATTCACTATTCTGGGCAAGTTAACCCTTCAAGGACAACACCTGAGAAGGGRAGAGCTAGACAAAATGGACAAAAGATCAATACCCTTTTTTTTCCTCCCCCTGCCAGCTGTTATGGAGCCCAACTGGTAACTTCGCTTATCTTAGAAATGTTGGCATCTTTGTGAAGCTCCAGCTCAAGGCCAGAGGCCTTGCTAAAGGATCTTTTTTTTTTTTTTTAATCACATTTTGCATTTGTAAACAACTTCTTACAAACTACTATCCTGGATAAATGTTTGTGAAAAACAGGTAAAGGGGCGTTCAGCAGTTGGAGTGCTGATTTCTTCCAGGCCAGTGGCCAAATAAAATGGAGCAATAGGAAAATTAGGAAGTTTACCTACACTGAACTCTTTTGTAGAGACTCTTTTGCTGATAGTCCTAAAATCAATTATAGTAAAGATTTCTGGAGAAGCTTAGTTAAGATTTTCTGTGGAGGAGGGGGTGCCACTACAAGGTTGAATATTCTGACCAGGATTTCACAATAAAGATTTGCTTAAGGAATATATAAAAAAAGGGATCCCTATCACTAAAAGTCACTAAATTCCAGATGGATTAAAGACTTAAACCTATAAATGAAAATCCATAAAAACATCAGAACAAAATAGAGAACATGTGGATAATAATGGTTGGTGAAACCATTCTATGTGACTCCAAACAACTACAAAGGACTGACAAGCTTAACATGTAAAAATAGACAAAAGGTTGATACCTGCAACAGATGGTGCTTCAATAAATCAATCAGAAAAAGATAATCAATACAGTAGAAAAAGGTACAAGTCATAAACAGTTGATTCACAAATAAAAAGGCTGAGGCAAGAGGATCACAATTCAAGGCCAGTTTTAGCAACTTAATGAGACTCTGTCTCAAAACAAAGAATAATTTTAAAAAGATGAGTGGGGGGCTGGGGATATATAGCTCAGTTGGTACAGTGCTTGCCTCATATGCACAAGGCCCTGGGTTCAATCCGCAGCACCACAGCGGGGAGAAGGGGCGGGCAGGGAATGTCACTCAGTGATAGAGCACCCCTAGGTTCAATTCCCAGTACCACATTAAAAAAAAAAAAATCTAGTTTCCTATCAGATTAGCAAAAATTTAAAAGACTGATAGCATCTACTATTGGAAAGGATGTGCAAAAACAGGTCATCTAATGCACTATTGCTGAAAATATTCTTTCAGAGAGTAGGTTGAAATTTGAAGTTTTTAAAATTTTTATCTATATCTATTTGAAATTTTTGAAATAAAATGTACATACATAAAATTTACCATTTTAAGTGAATGATTCAATGGTTTTTAGTATATTCATAATGTTGTGTAACATTCACTAATTCCAGAACATTACCATCACCTCAAAACAGAAATCCCATATCCACTAGCAGTAATTCCTAAATTTCTAACGCCTCCCGCCCCCTACAACCACTAAATCTACTTTCTGTCTCTGTTGATTTGCTTAGTATAGACATTTCATTTAAATGAAGTCATATGATATGTGGCCTTTTTGTTGGGCTTCTTTAACTTAGCCTTACTTAAATTTTAAATGTTCTTATCCTTCAACTCGGTTGTGCCATTTTTTTTGGTATTTATCATAACAGAATATAAGTAATATATGCCCAAAGGGGAAAAATACAAGGATGTTCACTGCACCTGTTTAAAGAAAGAAAGAAAGAAAGAAAGAAAGAAAGAAAGAAAGAAAGAAAGAAAGAAAGAAAGAAAGAAAGAAAGAAAGAAAGAACAAAACAAAACAAAAAACCCCACAAAGATACCTTTAAATAATCCACAGTTCCTCCCTTCCATGATATACTGTACAGTAGGTAAAAAAATAAGGCAAGGGCTTTGGCTGTGGCTCAGTGGGAGAGGACTCACCTAACATGTGTGAGGCACTGGGTTCAATTCTCAGCATGACATAAAAATAAATAAATTAAATAAAGGCAYTGTGTTCAACTAAAAAAGAATAGGCAGGTCTATCTGTTCTGACATTTTTAAATGAAAAGGATGTGATGTGTAGGAGYCACGTATTGTATGATTTCATTTATATGAAATGCCCAGAACAGGCAAGTTCACAGGGACACAAAAGCAGATTAGCAGTTGTCAGGGTACAGGGGTGGGAGCAGAGGGGTTAGGGGAACCTGCTAGTGGCTGTGGGATTTCTTCTGGGGGTGATGGAAACATTCTGGAATTAGGCATTACTAATAATATCAAACACCTTTTTATTGTATTTATGGGCCATTCTTACTTTCTTTTCTATAAGACCCCTATTCACATGCTTCATGCCTACTATCTTTTTCCTATAAACTTAAGACTTCTTTGTATTTAGATAGACTTTTCTATTGTCAATTCTATTAAATTCTACTTCTAGAAATTTGCCTTAAAGGGGGGAAAAAACTTTTGTGCATGCATATGAGGAACAATGTAGGAAGATTTTCAGCAAAGCACTGTTTATAATAGGGTAAAAGTAGAAATAATCTACCTCTTCTCGGGGGATGTAAATAACCCATGTTTATTTACGAATGGTACCAAATAGCAGTTCAAATCAAGGAGCTACACCTACACATACAACATGGATACATCTCAAAATCCAGGCTGAATGGGGACAATATATCAATTTGTAAAAGGATATGCAGAGTATAGCACCACTTAACAACTTTTACCTCCTACGTATTTTTAAGTCAATCTCTTCCTATCCAACCAACCATTGCCCACTTTAATTCAATCTCACTGTGTCAATACTGGGAAATTTAGGCTCTGTCGAAAAAATAAATCCTTCACAGGCTCTGAGGCACCCATAGGATAAGATTAAGACCTTTTATGATCTGTTCCTCTAGAGATAACTCCAGCCTCAATCTATGCCAGTCTCTACCTATACTCAGTGTTCTAACTGACTTGCATTTTGGCACTAATCATATTAAAGAGAAAAAGGAAAATTAAGCCTCCTCTCCCACCATTCTTTTCTTCCTTCAGAATGTGAAAAATCTGCATGTAGCACCAGAAGCCTTATAAATCACATACCATTCTCTTCCAAAGTCATTTTTAATTAGGACATATTTCAAACCCTAAATTATCAATATAAAATCCAACAGGTGTTTTAAACATTGCAAGATGGTGGTGTCGTGTGACTAGACCAAAGAAATCCTTCCCATACTTTTGACTCCAGCCTAACTCAACTCCAACCAAGATATATGGTTCTTGTTCACTGAACCATGTGATTAATATTTGTATTCATACCTTGAGAGGAATTGTTTCTTTATGCTTTAGAATCAACTGTGTCTATATCATTCGAACAGCTGAAATACTATAATGAATACATTTGTGCATAATTACATTCCATGTGTTAATGAGCTCAGTTCACTTTCCCCTCCATACTTCGAAAGTTCCTTTCTGCTTCAGAAAGATTGTGAAAGAAAACAAGCTGCATACTGGGGAACCAGTATGACTTACTGAAAAGCTTGGACTACCTGTAATCACATAAATGAAACTACAATTAGTGAAAGGCAATGTCTGATCTCCATAGACCTTCCTCTCACTAGACAGTGAGGGACGAGAGCAAAGTGCTAATTCAGGCAGCTGGAACACCAAGGTCCCCAACCCAGCTCCTCTCGGCTTAAAACCCTTTCCATCAAGAAATGGGCAATAGCCAAGCACGGTGGCGCATGCTATAATCCCAGCGGCTTGGGAGGCTGATGCAGAAGGATCATGAGTTCAAAGCCAGCCTCAGCAAAAGCGAGATACTAAGCAACTCAGTGAGACCCTGTCTCTAAATAAAATACAAAATAGGGCTTGGGGATTTGGCTCAGTGGTTGAGTTCTCCTGAGTTCAATCCCTGGTGTCCCTCCCCGCCAAAAAAGAAATAGGTATAGGACTGGGGTGTAGCTAAGTGGTAGAGTGCTTGCCTAGCATACACAATGCCTGGGGTTCAATCCCCAGCACTGCAAAAGAAAAAAAAAAAAAAGAAGCAGCAGCAGCAGCAACGCAACAACAAACGAAAGAAAGAGAAAAATAGATGGGCTATATCCTCTGTAAAACAGAATTAACTTAAAAGTATTGTGACTTTGGACAAATCATCGATATTTTCTGAGCCTTAAATTCTTCATCAGCAAAACAGGCACAATACTCTCTAGCTYGGCTTCCAGAAAAGACTACATTGAGTAACTTGCAAAATATTCTTGTTACAGCATTTTGGCAAATGCCACAAGCCAGGCATGGTGGCACATGCATATAATCCCAGCTATTTTGGAGGCTGAAGCAGAAGGATCACAAGTTTGAGGTCAGCTTGGGCAACTTCATGATACCCTGTCTCAAAAAAATTAGAAGGACTTTTTTGTAGCCCAAAATGAAAAATAAAAAGAGTAGCCCTGGGTTCAATCCTCAGTACCACAAATAAACAAACAGAACAACAACAACAAAAAGCCCAGTATGAACATGTAAAGTCTTATTATAATCAGATATATCTCCTTTTAATATTAAGCAGCTCCTAGAAACTGGAAGCATGCTACAGTGAGAATTTCCCCAGTGCAGATTTAAGCCATAGATTACCTTTATTTGTAAGATCCTTAAAATTTACACCGGAAAAAATAGTTAGAACATCCTCCTCCATATGAACCACATATGCTGTCTGTGAATCACTTTCATCTCCAAATTAGTAGAATCCAAATTAGTAGGGCTTTCCTACAGTGAAATCTGTTTAAGCAAACATCTGCTGGTTCCCAGAAAAGTGATTCCCCCCMCMCACACACAGGTGGCCTTTGAATTTGTGGCCTAAAATCCATACTAAGAAAATATAGCCTTTGTGACCAAGGTAATGTCCTTGAAAGCTTGGGTCTCCCCTAAACTAGAGCAAAAATGTGCAAAAAAGAACTCCACTCTGGGCCAGGCAGTGCCCAGATTTAATGAAAGTGACAATGACTGCTTCATCACTGTTGGGGCGATACTGATTGAAAGGACACATTTTTCCTGTTACTAATATTCTTGATCAAAGCATAAAAGGAAGCATATGTTTTAGTTGAATCAAGGCCCATTTTCTGTTTTCTCAATTACTCATTTTTCAGAGAAGTGGAATAGGGGAGGCACAAAATGCAATCCCAAAGCCATGAATTCTGTCCTTAGCATTACCCAAGATTGCATGAATGACCTTGGGCAAATCACAGAGGGCAGATAGTGCTTCAGCGCCTACATCTTTAACCGTCAACAAACCCCCTCCCTCAGGCCTGGTGAATGCTCAGCAAATATTCCACGAGTCATCATATGATGAAGCTGTGTTTCTATTGGTGTGATCATCAAGACAACGTACAGCCTTCCCCSACTCACCCACTCAAATGACAGACCAGTTACTTCCTGGCTTTGATCTGAAATTGTACCAAGCTACCCAAAAAAAGTGAGCGAAGAAGAATGTCATATTGATTTTTCTAACACAACAGGGGTGGCTTTACAGATACCTGTAATGAAAAAGGAAAATAACTGAAAAGATTATGCTTTACAATCGCAAGTCATCAGTGTCTGAGGACATCTTATACTTCAGTGAAAGGCAGGAAGCTGGGAGACTAGGAGAAGGTGGTATGTGAGTGAAATGGGAAATCTGAGGGACATGAAGTACCCTGGGCTAACTCTCTTGTTGGTCTTAAAAAAATAGAACGGAGGGCTGGGGATGTGGCTTAAGTGATAACATGCTTGCCTGGCACACTCGGGGCACTGGATTCGATCCTCAGCAACACATAAAAATAAAAAAAATAAAGATGTTGTGTCCACCAAAAACTAAAAAAATAAATATTAAAAATTTCTCTCTCTCTCTTTAAAAAAAAAAAGAATAGAAGGGACAAAAACCCAAGATGGGCCAGGGTTGTGGCTCAGTGGCAGAGCAGTTAGAAGATTAAAAAGACACACCACATGTGAGGCATTGGGTTCGATCCTCAGCATCACATAAAAATAAATAACATAAAGGTGTTGTGACCATCTACAACTAAAAAATAATATTAAAACAAAACAACAGGGCTGGGGTTGTGGCTCAGCGGTAAAGCACTCACCTAGCATGTGCGAGGCCCTGGGTTCGATCCTTAGCACTACATAAAAATAAACAAACAATATAAAGGTATTGTGTCCAATTAAGAAATAAATATTAAAAAAAAAGAAAAGAAAGGAAACACAAACTTGGTGATGTTCCTTTCCAATCCCTCCTGGTCTGTAGTGAGTGAATGAAAGTGAATGATTTTCAGCTAGCTGGACAGCTCCACAGGCAGAGTCTAGCCACACAATCAGTGTGCATGCCCCTGAGAGGTGAAGGAGGCAGGGCTGTGTCTGAAGGTGTGGTGGGGTGCCTCCACATAGGACAGCTGGCTTTTAGAAGATGGAGGGAGAATCTGGGCTCTTTTGACCTAAAGGCCACATTTGGTCATAACTAGAGATCGTAAATTCATTTTTCCTGGTTAATAAATAGAGGTTGGTGTGGTGAATGTAATGACCCACATGTGCATAATGAAATTTCACAGAAAATTTATCTTTCTGAATGAATTCCCATAGAATGAATTCTATTTCATTAGAAGGATATACTTATCATTTGTACATACAAACATACATATGCCCACATACAGAAATTAGGACAGTGACAATGGATTCCCTAATCCACAAGTCTTAGGACATCTCACTTCCTAGGACAAGTCTTTGTTGAAAAAATCCAAAGAACCAGAATATAGAAGCCATCCTGTGACACAAGTTAATGTCCAGGAAGTTGCATTTTTCTTCTTTGAGCCTACCTTGGCCTGGACAGCATAAGAAGCCAGGAGCACAGAAGCCTCAGGAGGGCAGTAGATCTTTTCCTCTAAAATCTGCTTCTTCACCTAAAAGGGGCAATGAGGGAGACATGAGACTGTGCACAAGGAAGTGAGTCGCGCAGGCTGGTCACAGCAGATGGCTGCAGGGTGTTCTAAATGAGGGCTGTCAAGGCAGCCTGTTAATGATTTTCTGACAAAGGGGACAATTTTTTTTTTTTTTAACTGCTGCAGACCACTTGAGAGTTCAGTCACTGAGAAGTTACTGCTAAGATGGCTACACATAAAACCCCCCTCATCTTGGACTGGGAGGTGCAGCTCAGTGGTAGAACACTTGCCTAGCAATGGGTTTGATTTCCAACACTGTAAAAATAAATAAATAAACAACACTCATCTCTTCAAGATCAAGGKTGATGAGTAAATGTGATCTTCATGGTTATTACAGAGACTGACCTCTGGGCTGTGGCAGAGAGGTGTGAACTAGAGAAGTGTCAGGAGCCCTCTGAGGATGACTACAGCCTAGGTCCCTGCTGAGCACTCAGAGCATGGAGGAAATGAAGTCTACTTTTAAGTCTAAAGACAAAAGCTACCAAGGCAATGAGTTATGACCGCAGAAAAAAACATCACTTTCAATGTGCTGCTCTAAGGAAAAAGGAAGCAATAAAATTTGATCGATTCAACACTTTTAAGTACACGTGAGGTTCAGGAAATAGAATTCCTAAGCCATAATGTTGAATTAACATATTTCATTGCACTTAATTTCTTGGAATGGGGCAGTGTATGATCCTGACATAGAGACAAGAAAACTGCATGATGCGGAGTACACTAAAATAAACACAAAAGGAAAGTCAACTCTTTTTACAGATGTCAACAGTCACCAGATTCATAAAAGTAGTAAATTTTGCCTTGTTCTGTTACAAAAACACCCTAACATTTCAATGAAGGAAAATCAAACTAAAGTCATACGAGGGATAGATTCTGCTTTCAAGCACTTACAGGAATGCCATTTCTATAACACTAAGACATTCAGGGACCTTGGAGGTCTTTATGTGGCTTCATTCACACAAAGAAATTCTTTCCAGGTTTTAAAACTCATTTTATATTCTTACAGAGAAAATGAAACCTGAGCTGTTTTGAAGCAGTGCAACTTTTCAAATCCTTGGATTCTTTTCAAAGGAAAAAGAAAAAGAAGTCACACTACAGAAAAACTGAAAGGGCTATCTTTTGACTTGAAAATACTGGAAAGAAATCTGACACATACTCTGTGTGTGTGCATGTGTGTGTATGTGTGTGTGTGTGTGTGTGTGTGTGTTGTGTGTGTACGTGTTTGTGTGCATTCGCACATGCACATGAGAAGAACTTTTGGTAAAAGAAATTATTTAGGGGGCTTATTACATTTCACTTAATATTTACCAAACACAATATTCTGAGGCTCAAATTAATTACAAGGATGCTGTGACACACCACATGTCTACTTCTGGAGAAATCATGTAATTAACAACCTTGCTGCAATCTTAACGTCACTGACAGTGGGCACCTTCGGTCACACAGGCAGCCCTGGTGCCAATCACTGCAACTAGCCACAAAATCAGGGAGGTGCTCTGGCCACAAGCAAGCACACAGGCAAAACTGACAAGGTTTCCATCATCCTCTAATTCCCCTCCCCATCCCCCTAGAGGGTCAATAACCTATAATTATGCATCTCCTAATTTCTTCAATTTGGATGAGTGATTACTTAGGAATGCCTATTGAACACTTGATGACTTTTGCTTTTAAGGGGCTTACACTCCAACAAGGAAGCAAAGGAGCAAGCAGACAATTATAGAACAAGATAGCATGAAGCAGAAAGCTGAAAGYATCACAGGCACGAGACAAATCAAGCATCACCAGCATTTTGAAGTTCTGTCTTAATGAGATCAGATTTTGAACTAGAGAAGAACTACTGCTTTATAAGCCTCTCTCTTTAGACTTTCTTTGCACTTTCAAGTTAGCTTGAAGCAAACAGGACCCATCTTCTGGGAGGTTTTAGGTTAGGCAGCTGCTTCTATCCATGCTTCATCATCACACCTTTGCAATTTCATCTGACACCAATTCTCATCGCTCAGGTATAGTTCTATTTTGAAGATTTTTTTCCATTACAGATCCAAAGGGACTGACGCTCTAGAGGCAGAACATTTTTGCAATGTGGAGGCGTTTGTGGTCAACTCTGAGAGGTTCATTCAGGATGCCTCTGCAACCACAGAGAGGGTGGGGGGGGGTATTCTCTCAGAATTTAGGGGGTAGCACGGGCTGATGTACCTGCAAGAAGAATAAGTGTTGTGTGATCTCCTGCACCAGCTCCTCCTCAGCATTCTCAGGATAAAATTTGGCCAGGAAGTGAAAGGTGACCGGCTCCTCCTTTGAAACATCATGATCCAGCACCTGCAGAATTGCAAAGMAGAAGACACACGTATTGTGTCAGCCCCTCTTCTTCCTGTGCTACCAAAGAACTTTTTGCAGGGAGAGTATATAATTTTTTCCGTTAATTTCTTCATATTTCTCACAAGTGTTGATTCCCCAGCTGGAAGCATTCACAGAGCCATCCACATGAGGTAATACCTTCCTCACACAGGGTTTCTGAACCAAACTAATCCATACCCTAAAAGGTGAGTGAAGCTAAGAYGAAGGTTCAAATGTTCTCGAAGCCACAGGAAAAAACCTAGAAATATAATTCAAAGGTCTTGGCCACTGTCTTTTATGGGAGACTGAAATGTTTTTACATTTTTCTGAAGTAGTGAAATGTCCCTTTGTTCTTTTTCCTTATTGCCCACCTACATAATGTAGATCCAATTGGAATACACCTTAGAGATGATGAACTAGATTTTTGCGACACCATTTAAATGTTAACTGAACAACAGAAGTGAAACGTGTCCACAGAACAATCCTTTGTTTCTAGGACCCTCCAGAGATGCCCCACAAAATGCTTGCAGTGTAGTCAGTAAGCCACTGCCTTTAATCTTCTAACAATTCCATCCACCCCCTGAAAAGCTTGAACCATCTGCTCTCCAGAGTGAATTTCATTTCAGGACATAAACATGCCATGTGACAGGCTACCAGGCTCCATTAACATGTGTCATAATTTATTTCCTTTGAGCAGCGGTTCCATGGCTCCTGATGCCCTCAATCTAATATCCGTTTGGCCAACACTCAGGTATGATTTAAAATTCACTTTGCTGAGAATCATAAAAACATATGGAAAGTTTTGCTGTCTCTGACACATAACTCTCCTTACTCCTGCCCAAATTATAGGGGACAGTGGCCAGTAACTCAAAATCAACCTGATCTAGGATACCCTCACTGACATTGGCACTTCACAGAACTCAGATCATGAAGAATAACCATTTGAAATTTACAACCAGCAGGGATTTCAATGTGAAGACTTGAGATTACCCTGTACACATATAAACACAATTTGAACACTTCAGCTTAGGATCACACTGGTAAAAGACAGGRGGCTTTCATTATTTATCATAACATGAAGTATGTAATAACTTCAGGCAGACAATTGCAGAGGGTACCAATTAGGGCAAGAATTAGACACTGACTTATTTAAAGATTCAGGTGTCTTTTTAGGAGTGACAGACAAAAGCACATGGTCCTGTTCCCCAATCATCTTCATAGTTAGGTGGGCAGGTAAATATATAAGTGTGTCTTTATGTGAACATATGAGCCCATGCAGAGGGCAGTTCCTCTAGGCAATATCCATTTTCAAGCCATTTTAAAATTAGTAGGAGCCCAGACTGCACGTGCCCCAGAGAATCCCAAGAACAAATGGGCATTGTTCCTTCACCACAGGCACAGGCGCGTCCTTTATTCCTTGGATCACATTAATGATTAATTCAAGTTGGGCCATGGTGTTCTTAAAAAGACTTAAAAATTCCCTTAAGAACATGAGCCCCAAGAGAATCTTTCAAAGACAATAATCTTTTTTTTTTAAGTATAAGATAGTAGTCATTTTTATTCATAAAGCCTGCCTCCTGGCTCAATAAATTGAAGGGCATAAAGCTGGAAGCAATCGGGCTGGGGATAACAAGCAAAGAAGCCAGGACTTGTAAGGGTTGAACCCCAGTGAACTCCACTTGCCTAGGACAGGCTGGGGAAGGGTAGGGCACAGCACTGCTGGGACCTGGTCTCTGCACCACTCAGTTCAGGAACTTGACCCCCTTTCTACCATGTAGCCATGAAGTCCTGATGATGAACAAATAAGCTAAGCATTTGCTCAGGGTAAAACCCAGAAAGCACACATCCGCCCCACTGATTTTGTGCAGTTCCAAGCCCAACCTTCTTGTCCATTTTGAGCCAGGCCACGGTGTCCTTGATTGTGTACTGTAGTCCAAAAAACCAGGTTTCCCGCAGCCCCAGAGTCCGGCACACCAAATCAAACAGGTCCTTCCCTTTCCATTTCACCTGCAATATAACAAACCAACAGGGAAGGATGTTGTGAGCAAGAATCATAACCTACTCGCCTACAAAACGGTTCTCTGCACTCTCTATTGATACTAAGATGGCTGATGAGCATTGAATTCCTAAATAATTTTAAAGCTTCCCACACAAAACCATGAGTGGGAAAATACCAATTAGAGCTTAATGGCTTAATCACTGCAGAGCATACACAATACCTCCCTTGGACACTTCCTTACAGATCTTAATATCCCCAAAGCTGCTAATTTAGGAAACCTGGTAAATAAGCATCCTCATTTAGGAGAGCTGAGCCTCCTGAGTTAACCCAGGGAGATGGCCAGCGTCTGAGACATCAATTCCCTTGAGATTTTGTTGTTGCTTTTTAAAAAATCATTCTGCCCTTTGATAAAAGACTAGTGGTGTGTGTGTGTGTGTGTGTGTGTGTGTGTGTGTGTGTGTGTAACTTAAATATTAGTTTTACTAGAAGTTTTTTAAATATAGGGGAGGAAGTTGCAATCAAAGTCATAAATCAGGGGAAAAAAGAACCATGAGAGATCAGCCAGTCCAATCACAGGTTTCCTATCATAGATGCTCAACTGGACTAAAGGCAAAGTAACTCATCCATAGTCAACAGAGCAATTTCAAACTCTTGGTATCTGAGCCTAGATGACAGACACCCATATACTATGGCGTGTTTACCCTAGAGACTCACTTTCAAAAGAACCTGAGCTGGACACAGTGGCATATGCCTGTAATCCCAGCAGCTTGGGAGGCTGAGACAGAAGGATCCTTGAGTTCAAAGCCAGACTCAGCAAAAGCAAGGCACTAAGTAACTCAGTGAGACCTTGTGTCTAAATAAAATACAAAATAGAGCTTGGGGATTTGGGGATGTAGCTCAGTGGTTGAGTGCTCATGAGTTAAAAAAAAAAAAAAAAAAAAGACCTGAAACAACAGCTGCTAACCCCTTTTCTCAGCTAGTCAGTCAATCGTAGCTGGAAAAACAAATTCAATATCTGAATAGGGGAAAAGAATGTCTAGCAGCTTAGTGAATATTGCCACCTAGTGGCTTTGCCATTAAGTCTCCCAGGATGTTCCCATACTACCCCCTCAGCTACCACTTGCCAGATTCCTGCCCCATCACCTCCCAAGTTATCAGTTGAACACAGAAATACACACTTAGTTGCAGGTATGAACACCTGAGGCACATCACAGAAACAGCAGTCATAGAGTAATCCTGAGACTCAAATGCAAGGTCGMCAAACATGGAAAGAGTGAGACCACTTGATTGCAAAAGCCTCGGAACTTCTACCCTCATTGGAAATCTCCAAAGTCCTGGCACACAGAAGATGCATGATGAAAAAGGAATGGGGAACATGTAGGTTTTAGAGACTTATTAGAAAAAAGAAAAAAACAAGAAGGAAAAAATATCTGATTGACTTTTTGCTAAAACCTAGTTCCACAGGGGAGTTTTCAAGTAGGATTTCTGTTTTTAATAGCTGTGAATGAGGGCTGGGGTTGTGGCTCAGTGGTAGAGCACTGGCCTAGCATGCGTGAGGCACAGCATTTAATCCTCAACACCATATAAAAATAAAAAATTGTGTCCACCTACAACTAAAACATAAATGTTTTAAAAAATAGCTGTGAATGAATGGTGGGTTCCCCACAGGTACTCAAAAGGAGAGACCATCTCTTCTCTGTGTTACATTCCAGCATTCCAAGTCAGCAACCCAGATGGAAGATACCAAGACCACAGCAGACAAGTGCTTGAGTTGCAGTGAGCTTTTGTTCTTTCTTTCTTTCTTTCTTTCTTTCTTTCTTTCTTTCTTTCTTTCTTTCTTTCTTTCTTTCTTTCTTTCTTTCTTTCTCTCTCTCTCTCTCTCTCTCTCTCTCTCTCTCTC